AGCCTTCTGCTTTACTGGCTGGCTGAGAGTCATGGTAAATCGCAGGAAGCCGGGGGTGCGGGGCCCTGGGTTCCCCAATACTCCGTGACAACTTGCTTCCTGCATTTTACTTTATTAAATTCAAGCTCCTTGTCCTCTTCTTCAGGGCCTTACATAATCACAATTTTCATTTCCTTCTACCTCATTCCTGCTCCTTATACTTCTCCAAGACCTTTCATTACTGATTCCTTCATCTCCTTCTCCCATTCTCAACTTTGTCCCTTCATCCATTCTGCAACCTACATCTGGAAAAGTCTCCCACATTTTGTCCATGCAGCACCCTCTCTCTACTAAAATTAAAACCAACTTCTTGCAGGACTCCACCCTCCTTGTTCTCTTTCCCAGTCTCTCCACGCACACTCTCACTTTCTTGATCTGTTCTCCTGTGTCTTGTCTTAGTTTAATTTGTCTTGTTTACCCCTTCCCTGGAAGTGCTTTTGGCTCAGACTTGAAACCACTTACTCCCACACATCTGCTTATTCCCACAGATGAGTGATCTTCCTGGAGTAAAGCTGTACCATACATCCATCTGTTCTCTGAGTCTGCTGAAGTATTTTAGAGATTTGTATGTGGGATGTTAAGACCCTGAGCATTCCAAAAGAGAAAGTTAAGGGCAGCCATAATTTAGAACAGTAAAAGCCTAAAACACTATATTTCTGATTAAGAAAAGTCAGATAGGGGAATGATGAAAGCTGTAAGAATTCCAGTTAAAGACACAGAAAAAGAAAAGGAAAATAAAGGGAAGCAGGAGCAAAGGAAGCAGAACATTAAAGATCAGAGAGACAGGAATGGGAAATAGAAATAAAATAGAGCTTGGGGTATCTTGAATTAAATCAGTGACTGACCTTATCTAACACTTACTTTACCTTTTCTGTTTTTATTTCTGATTTTTGGGTATATGCTCATTTAAGTCTACAAAGCTTTATGCATTGGACTCCCTGAACATTGAGAGGCGAATACACCCAGAGTATGTCACACTCAAATATGGCTAATATTAGTGGACTTTGAATAGTTACCACCTTTGTCCATGATCCTGCAAGATATTCCGCAAAGGTGAGGAGGTCCCCCTACGTGGAGCTCCTTACAGGGTATGCGCCTTAATTAGCAATGTTATTGTGGAGTAGGCTTCCATAGTTCTAGTGGGGATGAGGTCTACAGTGTACTAAGGGAAAGGCTAAAGCTGTGCATCAAAAATATAAATGCATCTGTCTTTATAGGCAAAGCTATTTGTCCTCACTGTGCATGCTCTCCAAATGCTATACTGTGCTAAGCAAAATGGATACAAAATTTCCATTATCAAAAGGCTCCCTTTCAGCAATATACATCGTGGAGTTGTGTGCAAGTGACTTCACAGGTTTGTCCCACAAGCATGATATGGATGTTTATGACTGAACACTTTGTGGATGAATTAAAATGGGTGAAGAGGGAACACAGAGAATGGAAGCTTATTGACAAATATTTGATAACATTACAGACTGCAACATTTATTTTCAGATTCCATATGCCACAATTGTTTTTATGTGGTAGGCATGTCAATTATTGTAATACTCCTAGAAATTAAGATTGGAATTGATGGGCTTTGTATTCTTTTCTAGCAGTGATGCTGCTTGCTCCTATTAGTTGCTTGTAACAAATATCTGCTCAAAATGTAAGAATCTGCAAGTCTCTCAATGTTTAAAAAATTCCCAGAGGTTAGCTTGTTAAACTTTTTAATTGATGCAAATAGATACCGGCTTCATGCAAGATAGCTCTGCGTATGGACTGCTTTGTCTACCATAATGTTACTATTAATTACTTTGTACTGTTGCAAGAAAATGTTTGCAAACAAGTCATTCCAAATGGATTTTTCTAGGTAAAATATTTTATATGAAAGGCATTGGCTCAGAAAAGTCATTAATTTTTTTTAAAGGTTCCAAAAAGAAAGTTTTTAAACAGTGTTGGTGGCTGGCTGGTGTACTGTATTAATAATGGGATAATTAACTTTTAATCACTATGTCATCTGTTCAAATTTGATCTAGATTGGTTGTAACCAAAAATTGTTGCCATCTGATGGCAGTTATGTAGAATGAGCTGGTGGTCACAGCCCACTAGACAAGGGTCCAAATCACAAAAACATTAGTTGGTGCCAATTAGTATCCTTGCTGTCAGTCTTAGCAGAGAGGCTAAGGGCATGGTGTCTCAGCTACTCTCTTACCCCTAAAGCTGGTCTCTCCAGGTCAGGGTTGAGGCACATTGGTGGGACAACGTAGGGAAGTTTGCACTGCTGCTGCCCATGCTGTAACTGCTCTATAAATAAATAGAGGACTTTAGTCTCCAGGGCTGTCAATTTGGCACCTTCCATGAAAGTCACATTTAAAAAAAATCATAAACTTCATGAAATAATTTAGTATCTCCAATCAAAATAAAGTGAGTGTATTTGTACGAGAGCACCTAAAATCCCACAGCTTCCATTTGCTCTCTGTATTTTGTGTTTTCTATTCTTAATGGTGATAAGAATAAAAGTTATGGACCTCTTTTGGAGTTTCTTGATGACAACGGTTGCTGTTCCACCACAACTCCAGCGCTGCCACCAAACACGCAAGAAGAAGGCCTACTGCTAAAATGCAGAAGACGCCTGCAAAACTGTGAAGCTTCAGTGCCTTGCCATCTGTCTGTGCATTGGTGTGGCTGTTCAGGTCACAACGTCCCATCCGTGGCCACCATTTCTGTTTGAGTACATCCAAGTCTCCAGTGTCTTGTAATTCTAAGATCCTGCAGAAATTTTAAAACACAGCCATTATTTCAGTTGATTTCTGTATATTGTGTACACCTTTATCAACAACTCTGCAGCCCTGGAATCCTTATATTACAATAGGGCTGCAGGAATGATCTTTCTACAGGAATTCAGCGTTAGTCAGTGGAATTCTGTATTTAGGGCAGAACATCTCCAACAGGACTGGTGTAATGCTACAGTTGCAGGACTTCCTCGCTCTCTGTCTATAATAAATCAGTGAGGTATATTTCCTGCATATCAAATATTCATGTACATTTTCCTCAAGCATTGACGTGGTTGTGAGAGGGCCACTTTCACAAGATAACTTTCAGTAAGTAATAAGTTTGATGAATATCTCCTAGTCAAATGTAATTTCATCCAAAAAGCATCTACCTGGGAAAGGGTGAAATTAGCTACTCTTTTATACCAAACTTCATTCAGTATATTCCAGTCCAGAGCAGCCACAAGATTTCACAGATCAGCTTTAGAAATAAGTGTGACTTTCAAAAACTGCTCTTAATAAGCAAAGCTTTAGCTAGGGCTTTACCTAAAATTTTGACTTTGCTCAGATTTCCAGTAGATGATAATGGTTATTCAAGAAGAAACAGCTCATGAAAGACTCAACCTTCCCACCCATATATAGTCCATCATACTAATTTCAAAATATATTTGAAACAAGCATGTAACCATTTGCACAGTACTTAATACAAAATGGTTTAAGCAGCAATAGAGTTCCTTATTTCTGCTTTGAGCTATAGCAAATGCAGTTCATTCAAAAATATTTTACTACAATGCTGTTACTTTACGCTTGAACTAGTATGTTAACAATTACTAATTAATCATTGTTTCCCATTTGTGAAGTGTCCCTTTTCTCCATGAATGATTCATTTGGGGTCTGGTTTGACAACTGCCTTTGCTATTTAATAACAAGTTTTCCTTTCGAGGCAGCTTTGTCTCTGGTTATCACGAAAATTCAGGCCAACTGAATATAAAAGTCTTCTTTAAGAATAATCCACACAGACATAAAGTTGGTCTTGGCTTTCTGCATGTAGCTGTGTGCTCAGCCACTTTCTACTAAGGCCGCATGTATCTACACCACCATGCACACGTTTGTTTTAGCATAAGGAGAAAGTATATATGTATACTTTTAAAACATACTGATAGACTGGGATCACTGAATTGTGATAGACACAGTAGAGTCACTATCTTCCTGAACCCATGCAATCACTCAATAACTATTATTTGCCCATTATATGGTGATACATAATAGACAGCATTGCTTTTCTCATATGGATCAATGCTCCTCCCCATCTAAAGACTAAATTGTGGCTTTGACACAAGCCCTGAGTTTCACTGCCCCCAAAGCAGCCTGGGATATAGATTGTGACTCAGAGAGTTACAATCTCCTTCCCAGTTTACCCACTGCTCTGGGGAATATATCTGGCACAGCATGGGCTGCCCAGAATGTTGGGAGCACAGCCATTTCCAGCTCCCTCCTATCTACCCCCTGACCACATGCACAGGAGAGGAAGTAGCTGCTCTGCTGAGGTTGCTCCCCACCCCTCTGCCCTATGCTACTATAAAAGGAAGAGAATTCAAACAACTGATTTCAAAAGATAGAGATTCATTTAATAAACACACATTGCCAAAGTTAATCAGCTGTGAACATGAGCTTCTTTGTTGCAGAGAGGAATCCTATGAAATAAGCATGGTTTTGCCTTACCTTTGGGAGAAGAGATCCCTGTAGGGACTGCCATGCTGGAGTGCTATCCCATATCCTTTACTACTGATGCTGTTTCCAATGACCGTCACAGAACACTCATCATCTGTCAGGGCTGCATATTCCACCACTGTTACATCCCACAAAAAAGCATAGTTGCCTTTCTTTGCCTGCAAATGCACCACAAATAAAAATAAATTATATAGTTGATCTAGGGCTTAAATGGGTCTCAAAGTCATGCTGAGCCTTTCATTGACCAGTGCTGACATTTTGTTAGTTCATAACAACATTTTAGACCTCTAACATCTTCAGACACTTCATAACAACAGTTCCTCATTTACTTCATACCCACCTTAGAGCACTCCCATTGTTTCAATAAGCCAGAGTGGTGCAGTAGGCTGGGTCCAAGGCTTCTTGTGTGTGACATGGTTAACTTCAGGCCTCATATTGGTCTTTTAAATAATTATAAATATTAATAATGAATCAAAGACATCACCTTCAATTACACTGCTCTACAGCCAAAATGCTTCTGAAATAAATGTAGTCAAACTTTACTAATTCTGGGTCACTGAGAATGAAAATGATGCTTAAAATTGTTGATTGGCTCTAGTTTTCAAGATATGCTATTGGGTCAGTATATACGACCCTCAA